AATAACAAGTCCTATGAGGACTGGCGCAAATATTTTGACCTCATTTTCCCTAAAATTACTGAAGAAGATATCAACAAGTTCTTTGATAGTTATCGTGGGAGCGAGCAAGAACGTGAAGATATCAAGAGGTATTACGTTAAGTACCAGGGCGACATGGATCATATCATGGAATCAGTTTTGTCTGAAAATGAATACCATGTGAAAAATATCATACAGGATCTAATAGATACTGGATGTGTGAAACCTTTCAGAAGCTTCACTCAAGAGCCTAAAAAGAAAACAATTAGACGTGCGAAGAGGGCAAAAATGGAAGCCGACCTCTTTGCCGAGGGCGAAAATGAGCCATCCAACGGTGTGGGATCGCTTTTGGAGGCCTTTGCTGCCAATAGGGAGTCTAGACTCCAGGCCTCTGAGAGCTTCATAGATAAGTTGGCCGCAAAATACACCGACAAGCCAAAGTCACTTAATGGCCCTAAGCGTGCTCGGAAGAAAGCAAAACCCTAGATCGTTTGTAGCCTCCCATTGTTAACAAGCGGCTTTGTTGCAGCCCAGCTTCAGACTTTATTGACACGGACGCCGTGTAATATATGTACATCAATGTAAAAATGATCACTTGCTCATTAGAACAGTACATCTCACCATTGCTATGTTGTAAATTACCATGCCTCAATAAATTGTATATTTGCGTACATAAATAGAAGACATTTATTGGCCACTGGTCTTTATGCTTCTACGCGTGATACCTTTCGTGGCGGGATGGTGTAGACAGCAACTATATATTTGAGTATATGGGCACCGATTGTATGGAATACATAAAAACGCCCGCCTACTCTGTTCGGTTAGCCATATATATATATACAGGATTACATCTGCCAATGGCATTTTAGGCGAAAGTTGGACAAATCCCTGGTGCTCGTACTGAGTTGCAAGTGATGGATGGCTCGCTCTCTGAATCGCCCAGATAGTCAACTTTGGGGTACGATAGTGTAACGATGGTAAAGACTAGTATGAACCAGCAGGTCATGTGAATCAGGGATCCCGGAGACGAGCTTAACCGAAGTCGGATAAAATAGCACATGCACGAGGCCTGACTCCGTTGAAATATTCTTCTAACATGGAGGTAAGGAATCAATTTAGTCTACAAAGATTAGAGAAATTAATGGGAGGTGGGCGATTCGAGTGACGTATAAATTCGGCATGTACGGTCGCGACGTGGCGCATACAGCGTGCTGGCCTTAATTAAGTGTGAATCAGGCTGGCATTTAACACGAGCTTTAATTGAAGGATGAGAAGTGGGGCTGCCATCTTACAGCACCATTTAATGCTATGGTGTGGTCGTAGGCCAGGTTCTCGAGCCAGCAAAGGGTGCCTTGGTGTGCAAACCTAAGTTCCGAGTAGCAAGCTGCAGTCAACTGTATTGGCCGGCCCGATTCTCCCGCACACAGGGGTTATGCTCACATTCTATGTCGTCGAATGCGTTAGTATGCAAGCAGCATTTAAGGCGCCACATCCACCTGGATTTCCTCTATCCAGTGGCTGGCAAGTTTACATAATTTCTCCGGAGCTCACGCGTCGAGGTTGAGTAAGCACACGTGATTTTACAAAAATATTATTCGTCTTCATTTACAAGCATGTTAGGGATCCCATT